GATTCCCGCAGAGCACACACTCCATATAAATAAGCGTGCGGTGTTCGATCTTTAACAGAGGTTTGATGATACATTGCAGGGTTTTGGTCGCGCCAGGGTTTGGCATAACTTCCCGCTCGTCTCCATCCCATCCCAGGACCAACAATCAGCCTTAGCGAGATCTCTTATCGGAGGCTGCTTATTTTCCACGGTGTAAGGAGATTTGGGCCCAAATCTGGCGTCTGTCTCCTCGTGAAACGTGACAGAAAGTGAACGCAGGCGTTTTCCTAAAAAATCTTTCATTGCTTTAGAAGCGTCTTGGCCACAAGTGGAGGACGCAGGCCTACGTTGTACCAGTAGGGGCCGCACTTGTATTATGTTGTCTTCATTTAAACTAATGGGGAGATCCAAGCGAATTTACATCCACTCTTCCCCCTTCTTTTCTAGTGTTCCTGGGATTCAGTCACGTTGTTGAAGCGCAGTTCTCCTTCACAGAGGAGCTCTCTCTCTCTGCGTGTGTGTGTGTGTGTAAAGGCGTCAGTTGCAGCTCATTGAAGGGCCATCCATGTACTTATTACTTATGACAGCAAAAGAATATATATGTTGTAAGTGCTTGTGCTTTTATGAAAGATATAGACAGTTTAGTTGCCAGTTGTTCAATAGCACAAGCAAGAGAGAAGGTTGTGTGTGAGATCCAGAGGATGAAAGAGTGGAAGAAGTGGTGTGTGTGTGTGTGAGGGAGAGAGAGGGATAGATGTGATTGTCTACAGGCAAATGAAGACAGCATTAGCAGAACACAGCTCAGAAGTTATCCAGTCTCAGGATACTTCTTCTAAAAAATACAAAGGGCTCAAATTCAAGTCTCCATCAAGCGCAGGACATATTACTCCTGCAGAGCGGTGTTGTAGACTAGCGTTGTTCATGGCTGAATAAAACCACAAATTGTCTTTTTGGAAAGCACTTCTGACTCTGGCCTTCAGAGATTAGTTCAGGGAGGAGATTCCTTTTTGGTTGGGTGAAGACAAACACTGCAGGACTAGAAGATTAGTTGGCTGCCTGCTGCCACAGGGAGGAACAGACAGACACTAGACAACCCACACCTAACCACCTAAACGGTATACAGCCTGTTTGTTTTATAATCACTATTGCTTTATTTGCATTTATCCACTATTTTGTTTTACATGAGTTAGCGACACAAATAAAGCAGATTGGAATTCATAAAGAGAAGCAATGGCCTGATGCGGACCTCCTGCATGCTAATGAAGCAGAACGTGACTGATGAAGTGACCACTAAAAGAACAGAAAATAAAGGAGTGAGAAGACGTACTGCACTGTAACACCGAGTGGAGGTGTTGCTGTGTGTTGGACATCAGGTGCACAGAGAGAAGGGAGCACTGTTCACATTCATTACATAAGAGAATACTAGGGATCTCATGTTTTTCTTTAATGGTGCCCTCTCTGTCTCTCTCTCATACACAGTGGGTTTGTAGAGAGCTGAAAAGGTGTGCAGTGGGCAGCCAGTGTGCTGAAGCCTCAGTGGTAACAGACCATTACTTCCACTGGGCTTCTCATGGGCGCTCATGCACACGTCGGGGCACAGAGAGCAGATGGCTGGGGCCTAAGAGAGAGATGGGCGGCCGGGGGAACGGCTGTGAGAAAATGGATAGAGGAATGAGGTGACAAAGGAGAAGAATGTCAGAAGATATGAGGAATAGTTTGTGCGCATCATAAGGCACTGCTGTGATTTAGGAGCACACATGGTCAAACCCAAAGCAGCGCAGGGACTTTTACACCACCCAAAACATCATGTACCCCTTCCAAACTGTCTTCTATTCTGACTCCTCAAAACATTGTGACTTTTTTTATGCAAAGGCCCGTAGACAAGTCCTAACTTTGGCACCACATTTGTATTCATGCCATTTCTGTTCCTTGGTTGCAGTTTTTTTCAAATGGCAACATCTCATCCAGAACCTGGGGAATAAAATGTGTTGAGAGGAAAAGCAACAGGGAGAATGAAGGCAGAGAGGGTGAACATTTTGGGACAGGTGAATAAATGGAGAAGCAAAGCAGTGGTAAATGTTATTATATTAATCATCATGTAATGCAGCTGAATTATTGATGCATGTGAAACCTAGCTGTGTGGCGGTGAAGCCGTGTGGGAACCGTGGTGAGAGAGATTTCACCATCGCAGTGAAGGAACACATGAAAAAACAAAATGAGAAAAAAAAAGAATGAAGCCTATATTGTTTTTCAGTTTCTTCTTCATTGGTCAACTGAGGAGAGAGAGTATAGGGTGCCCCTGTAGCTGTGTGCCTGGTGTGAGGTAGGAAATGTGTGTGAACGATAGCCAGCAGTGTGGCTGTGCCTGCCAAACATCACCTACTGTTGTGGTGCCAGGAAATGGTAGCCTTTGTATGACGACAAACTGCCTCCATCTGATTGGCTGGGGGATAGTCTCTCTTTCTCTCTCTCTCTCTCTCTCTCTCTCTCTCTCTGTGTGTGTGTGTTTCTTCTGCTGTCTTTTGTATGTCTGTGTCTCTTTCTCAATATATTACCTATTCCTCCTGTTTTTCCTCCTCTGTCTCCCCTGCAGTCCCCCTGTCATGCCATAGAGCTGAGACAAGTAAGGAGAGTCACTGGAACAGAAAGAAGCCTTGTTGTTTTAATATCTGACTGAATGGTTACTACAAATGCCACAACAGTCTGTTTTTGCTGTGCACTGCTACTGTGTGAAAGGTGCATGTGTGTTTTCTATAGGCGGATCCTGCATGTCCTGAAGTGGTCGAGTATAATTCTATTATCCTCTGTTCATACATAGTGTTCATGAAAGCATGGCTATGCAAACTATAAAAACATTTCCCCGAGTCACTGTACGTGCATTCTGTATACATATGGAAGCAGTATTGTTGCGGTCTGGAGCATTTCGTATTCAGCTCCTCTCCTCAGATCTTCCAGCCTGTGTGGGCGTCATAAGTCTCCTGCAACCTGCAGAAACTGCTGATGAAAATCATTTAACAAAGTCTTCTGATTCCACTGATACTATGATATTAACAGTTAAATGTAATATTTAAAAAGGCAATAGCAGCAGCAGCAGCAGTAGTGGAATGACCCAGGAACAGTGAATTCACTCCTTCAACCAGAAGCCTTGGGTTGGATCCCTCTTGAAAGGAAAATCCTGCTAAAGTGCTCTTGGGCAAGACCAGCATTATAGCTACTGCTCTGCAGCTAAACAAAAATAAGGAGTTGGGTTTCTTCTCCAGGATCAAAATGGGTGGATTGATGACTGAGTGGTTGAAGAGTTTAGCTTCCAATCTGGAGAGCAACTGGTTTGAATCTCTGGATGAGTTTGCAGATGTTTATTGGGAAGCTGTTCACTGACGACATGACAAGAGCCTGTACTCTGTATCTCAGTGTGAACATGCCCAAATGAAGCAGGATGTAGCCGATCACTTATACTATTAAATACTGTACATATAATGAAATATAAAATGTTTTTAAGAAAGCATTTACTGTAGTTGTTCCACTGAGAGATGAATGTCAGTTGCACAAAGTGAAATGATTTCACAAGCTGTCAGGGTGAGTCTTCATGTAACTGAGCAGCCTTTGGGGTAAAGGAAGAGCTTGACTTTTTTGACAGAGATGATATGAATCCATTAACCACCAGCACTCTCTTTGCAGGGAATGGGCTGAGACTCAGATGATTCATCCTCAGGTCTGCTAAAGCAGTGCTCATGCTTAGCTGGGCAGGGGGACGAGAAGGCCTCTGCTTGTTTTAAACCAGGATGACACAGTGAGCCCACATGCATTATTCAGCTCACAATAGAGCCTTCCACTGCAGAGGCTCAGTTTCATTACAGTGTCACAAGGTATGACAAATCCTAACCAACAGAAAATAATCTAAAACTACCATCATGCTTATAAATAGACAGCCACAGCTTTCACTTTTTCTTGGTGGAAGGAGGGTTGAACAGTAATGGAAAATGTAGCAAATAAAAAAGAGCATTTTATGAAACTGTTTCGAAAAATATTCTTATTAATCTACTTGTGAAGGGGTTTAAGAGACACTGAGAAACTCAGAAGGCCCGTTAAACTGCAGTTACCAGGCGCAGGTGGCACAGAAAACAATTTGGAATAAATTGCTTAGTTAAGTAGTTCATTCTTTTTTTAATATCAACGGAACCTTTGTACCTAAAAACAGGTCACGGGTGAATACAAAATGGTGCTTGACACCACAAACAGGCAAAACTGTCAGAGGGTCAACTCCTGCCAAAAGCTACTATTTTACTAGTACAAAAAGATTTAGATATTTAAAATTTGCATCTATCATAGGTCCTCATCACAATATGTAGCAGTAATATACAATTACTGGATATCATCGAAGTAAGTGCACCGGAAATTAGCAAAACAAGAATGAATAGTAAAATTCATAATTATCTGTGTCATTGCTGTGGAGACAGTTCACTCCAGGGTGTCCATGAAAGAGAGAGAAGTAGCTCTCATTGCACTACCCTGTATAAACACAGAGCGAATGGTAACCGCATGGTGGCGCTAGAGGAAAAGTCAGAGGACCTCCAAAGTCGTGAGGGTTCATCATCTGAGAGCCATGAATAAAGTAATACTTTACATAATGTTGATATAGACTTTAAGTCTTTAATGTGAAATTACCCACCATTATACAGTAGAGGGTGCATACATGCACACGATATTATGATCTGACACAACATTGTAAATAATGGAATAATTACTGAGAAAATGTAATGGAGCCAAAGGTGTAGGAGCTTTCAGTGCAGTTTGTCTCCTGGTGTCCTCCTTACTGTGTGAGCTGGGCATCAATCCCTGCTGAAGGTGGAGTGTTAAGATATTGCTCTTGCCTCTTTCAAACGGCACAGCTTCCTCCTGAATCATCTCATCCTAGCAGTCGTGACCATAAAGTATATAGCTGCTAGTCATCTTCTTTTTCTCTCACCCCTCCGCAATTTCCTCTCAAGGCCACCTCCCTCCCCACAAGGTTTATGTGTTTAATAATGTTACTGAGAAGAAACAGAATAAAAAGACGCTACCTGAATGTGTGGGCTTAAAGAGCCGTGCATTAACAATATATCTGCCTTTTTCTCTCTGCCATCATCTTTCCATATCTTTCTCTCCCTTCTCTCTTTCTCTGTTTGGTCTCCCTTCTTCTGTTCTGTTTTGCTTCATCCTCTTCCCATACAGGGGATGAAGAGGTTTGGCAGAATGTCCCTCAGCAGCAAAAGGAGTAAGAGGAGGAGTAGAAGGAGCAGCAGCTATAGCAGCAGGGGTAATAACGGTGTCCTGCTGTCCTTGGCCCTCCTGGTGGGGATGACCCTGATCGCAGACCCCGTGGTGGCTCAAAAGCAGCGAAGTGGCAGTGCCTCGGAAAAAGTGCCAGTCCTGAACATTGCGGTGATCCTGGGGCGCACGCGCTACATCTCAGACCGGGACATTCGAGCGCTGTGGAGCAAGGAGAACCCCATCGACATCAATGTGGTCACACTGTTGGTCAATGAGACTGACCCAAAAAGCATCATCACTCACATGTGCGACCTGATGTCAGGGACCAAGATCCACGGCGTGGTGTTCGGAGATGGCACTGACCAGGAGGCCATCGCCCAAATTTTGGATTTTATTTCCTCGCAGACGCTTATACCCATCCTTGGCATCCATGGGGGTTCCTCTATGATCATGGCTGATAAGGTATGGAAGAGTATAAGAGTATATGGAGACTCACGGATGGATGGATGATTGCTGGAAGAATGTTTGAGCATATGGGTGATTGATTGATTGCTTTGGTTTGGAGCAATGTTTCTAAAGCTCTGGCTGTTATTTTTTTTGCTGAACCAAGAAAGTCAAGCACTCACTCACCTGCCAGCTCTTACATTTTTGACTGTTGCTGCAGTTGACAGACTGTAACATGGTAATAATATCTTATCATGCTAACAGACTGAGAGGAAACCTTGCCGGTAAGCTGCCCCTCACAAATGTGTCTAGAGGAAAAGAAAACACAGAGACAAACCAGGATAGTGTTTGTGGAAAGAGGTGATGTGGAGGAAGAAAAGGGGATAGGAAGAAGAGGTAAGAATCTGCAGTGCTGTGGTGGAGGAACGGGCGGAAAATGAGGGCATTTGAAAAGCAGCTGGAGAACAGGAGGCAAGATACAACAAGGGGTGCCATGATTAAAAAGAGAAGCATGAGGAAATGTGGAAGGAGTGGGTGTTTTAGTAAGTCTGGCTAATACCGACTGTGCGGTGAGCTATAATCTAAGAAGTGTCCTTTTATTTTCAAGGATTTCCTCAGACAAGATGCAAGAGCCTTGATTGGTTCTCACATTTACATAGGGTATGCCAGTGCATGCCAGTCATTTTGAATTGTGAACAGGAAGAGAGGAGCTGCACATGATCCTGTGGATTTATGAGGCCGTGCTTAGGGATGTTCTCATCTGCATGATTTGCCCAGGAGACCAATGAAGGCTCACCAGACAGCGTGCTAGCCAAACCAGCTATAAAGATGCTGTTCTGACACATCAATCAAACATAGCTTGAAACAAAGAATTCAGACTACAGAGTATTTTTTGAAGTACACATCAACAATATGCTCTGGCCTCTGTTCTGTAGCTTATGTGTGGATTTCAAGAAGTAGACAGAGCCACACTAACAATTGTCAAGGTATGATATAGTAGCTTGGCGTAATTCCTGTGAACAAGTAAAACTAGTGCTAGTCTCCTTCACTATGACCGCCGCACTGCCTGTAAATCCTGTGTGTCTGGTCTTTTCTTGAGGATAATTTATTTGTTCACACAGTTTTAGCCCCAGTTGCCCTGAAACAATGGCATCTTTCTTCCTGCTTCAGCCCAAGCAATCCTACTCTTTAGTGATCCAGCAGATTTCCCAACAAATTTGATCCTGTGGACCACAATAAAACATTCAGTGTGGAGGCCAGCTGACAGCGTGGAACCTCTCACTGGTTATCTTCTTTATTTACAGTAAATATACCAATGCTTTAAAGCTATTGCAGTAATGGTATCTGGACCCTGTAATGCTTTTTGTAGCACCTCTGAAAAGAGGCAGAGGATGGGAGAAGAGGTGGAGGTATATTTAAAAGAGGGGGGTTCAAAGAGGAGAGAGGAGGTGGAGCTGGGATGCAGAGAAATGAAAGAGTGAGGAATGATCCCTCAGTCTGACCAGAGAAGGAAGCTGAGTGGAGGGGAATTACAGAATCTCCTGACTGGCACACACACACCCACATACACTTATTAACCCTCAAAATGAAGACTGGCCAAAATGTCCTCACTTTCCACAAATGTTCCCACTCTGTAGCAAAAATACTTTTTTCACTATGTAAAACGTACAAGAACACACACACACACACACACACACACACACACACACATATACACACACACACACCTCTCATGTCCCCTGTCAGCGAGTGTCACTGAAACAGCAGCAATTCAGCCCCTTGACAGCAGGAGTGTTCCCCTGCAGGAACAGTAAAATAATCCACTTTAAAGTGCACCACCCACCACTTTGTCTAGACTTTGTTTTACTTCTTACATCACGTCTGTGCTGGCTTCAATCTGCACTTTGTTTCTGTGTTTCTGACAAGTAGACAATTTGGAAATATGAGGTTTTGACCTGAAACCATGTGAAGTGCTGTGTTTTTTGAGGAATCTCTTGATTGGTTAACATGAAATTTTTGCAGATTCTTAAAAAGGGAATGTCATGTATACAACAGTTGGAACAGATTATTTTTTCTCTATTGGACATTTTTATGTCAGAAAATGGTAAAAGATGTTGATCATTATTTTCCAAAGCTCAAATGATGTCTACTAACCACAAATCCTCATATTTAAAAAGGTACATCCAGTGACTGTTTGGCAGTTTTGATTGATAAATGATTAATCGGTTATCAAAGTTGCTGCAGACTCATTTTCTGTTGCTCAATTACACAACTAATTGTTTAGCATGACCTTCGACTTAGTTACATTTTTATCATTATTTATCCAGATTGACTTTGTCATGTTTGACTGCACACTTCATTATTTAATTAGAAGTCCTGACATCACTTACATAGTCAGAGTCAGCATGATAATGGTTGTGACAGTATATGATACGCCCCCTCCCCCCACATTTAAACAACAACAGTAGAATGTTTCTGGGAGTACTGGAGTTTCTATTGAGCAAGGATTAGGATTCTTCTGTGTACGCTACTTCATTCTCTCCTCGGAAGGTCTTTTTGCTCTCATTTTAAAGTTTACATACCCCCCCGTAGGTTAAGGTTTATACTGTCTCCTGTGATGTGTAAGTAGCAGAGCTTTCTGCCATCTTGTTCCATGCAGATTTTCACTAATCCTCATGTGAAGTATGAGGAGAAGCTCGCCTCCAGTGATTACGCCTTGTAAGACCCTCATTGTGTATTTGTCTGTTCACGACGCCTTCGTGCTTGTGTTTGCATAGACGTGTGAAATTTCTCTGCCTATATATGCTTAAATGCTGTTAAGCTATCCAAGAGTTCCCTTCACTTCCTCTCTCTCTGTTTCTCACCTGTCTCCTTGTTGTCCCTCGACCCACCTCTCTATCCTCCTCTGTCTTTTATGCTTGCTTGTTAACCTGATCAGTTTATGGTATCTCCCTCTTAGTCCTTTCCATAAATCTCTCAGCTTTTGTTGACTAAGACATGATTTGCTTGTACTGAAAAGAATGCATTAATAATGCAAATGTGGTTCAGCGGGTAGAGGTTTGGAGGTTCGAATCTCGGTGCCTGTAGTCCACATGTTGAAGTGTCCTTGGGCAAGACACTGAACCCCCCTGTTGCCCCCGATGGTTAGAGCCATCGGATGAGTTGGCGTCGCAGATGGCTGCCACGGTTCTGTACCGGAAACAAATTCCTTGTGTGTAACATACTTGGCCAAATAAAGGTGATTATAATTAAGGAAAGAAATCTCATCCCTTGCTGGATTCTAAGCAGCTCAGCTTGGAGGTACCACCATGGTAGCTTCTTAAAACTGGGTGGGTGGGACTTGCACGTTCTAATTCCCCCAGCCAGTGTAACTGTGTGGGTGCCGGCTTCATGTTATTCTCATGCTAAATGGTTATCGACTTTCTCAGACGTCAGTACTGAGAACTGCATCACGTTGATCACGATTCCCAGTGTTTCCTTTTGCTAGTGTCGGTTCTAACTCGCAGCTGCCTATTGACGCATCCAGTCTGATCCGTCTGATGTTTTAGCCTGCTGCACATGTTTTCTTTTTCCCTTCATTTCCTCTCCAGTTTTTGGAGCATGCCTCATGAATTTAATCACGGTTTGTATACACCAGATGTGCTAGCAACAGCAATGGGAGATGGCCTTCTCTGTGTTTTTTCTTGATGAAAAACAAACATCGTTTCTGAATAAAATAGTGTTCGGTGAGTCAGAAAGTATTGTGATGTTCTTTAGTGTTTCTCAGCAGTGTAACTTTGTAGATGTGTATGTGTGTGTGTGTGTGTTCTGTATGGTGCCTCATCATTCCTGCCTTTGCTCTGTAATGTCCTTATATTACTGTGCGCGCGCACAGTACTTTCATTTCAACTTTTAAAAAATGACACATTATTTATATGGGTTCATTCATTTATTATTCAGTGATTCAAAAAAAACCCATTTGATATTATGCTTGATGCCGACTGGAGCATGTATTCAGAGGCTGGTTTGAGCAACCAGTGTAGAATTTAGAGTTTGACTCTTGTTATCTGGCACCAAATATCAGAAATTAGTCTTTGATATTGTCATCATTACTACAGCCACTAAAGGTCACCTGACACATATCTGTTGGTTGTACTAAGCTCCCGGCACCTTCTGATGAGTTCTTTTACAGGACAATCTTTATGAATGCTGTGTTCCTTCTGGCCTTCTGGTAGGTGCAGTTTGCTTCTACTGAAGAAATATAACGACTGATAACGGCCATTTAATGGGATGATAACATTCAAATCAGCTGCCTGAGATGTGAGTTTAGGGGTCTGGATCCAGGCTAAAGTGCTTTAATGTTCTGACCATCAACAAAACATGCAAGATGGTGACAGTCACCTCAGTGGGAATGGCTGAGATTTGAGACCTCAGAGTTTTCTGTTAGTCTGTCCACATGCCAGTGGATACGCAGCCTGGCTCCCTGGTTTTGTCACTGGGGTTTCCCTCCGTCATCCAGTGTTAGTCAAAGTTTCCATTTAACTGATTAAGCAATGCACACAATACACTGCAGCCGTATTTATGTAATTTATTGATCCATAATGATGAGATTAATCGATAGATGTCAGAGTAATGAACAGCATTTTCTGATCATGCCTATCAGCATACACCTTGTATTTATGCCAACGTGTATGTTTGTAAAAATGTTTATGGGCAGCTGTCATGGCGACTAAAGAATTCTATGCCAACTCACCACACACACGCAATGTAATTGCCAGCATTAATGTAACAAATGTAAGTGTGTGTGGAGTTATAGTGATCAACGAACATTATTCTTCTGTTCCTGTTGTTGGCATCCCTCAGGCGGCAAAACTGTACACACACACACAGGCCTGCATAAACACACATTAAACACACAAGCACTCTGATGTTTGCTGTTATGTCAAACAGCAAATCAGAGCAGAAGAGAGAGGATCGAAATGGAATTTGTCCAATTACTGGGTGGAGATGTTTATTTTTGTTTGCCTTAACTCGCACTG